AGGTGGATCAGTGCAGCGTGCGCAGTGATGCGGTCGCTGTATCGGACCGTTGTGGTAAAGAGGGAGCAGCGTCTGCAGTCAGAGCTGTATCGGACCGTTGTGGTAAAGAGGGAGCAGCGTCTGCAGTCAGAGCTGTATCGGACCGTTGTGGTGAAGAGGGAGCAGCGTCTGCAGTCAGAGCTGTATCGGGCCGTTGTGGTAAAGAGGGAGCAGCGTCTGCAGTCAGAGCTGTATCGGACCGTTGTGGTAAAGAGGGAGCAGCGTCTGCAGTCAGAGCTGTATCGGACCGTTGTGGTGAAGAGGGAGCAGCGTCTGCAGTCAGAGCTGTATCGGACCGTTGTGGTAAAGAGGGAGCTGAGCCGAAAGGCAAAGCTCTCGATTTACCGGTCAATCTTCGTTCCCTCCCTCACCTATGGTCTTGAGCTGTGGGTAATGACCGAAAGAACCCTTAGAGATACCTGGGGCAGACTGACAGAAGCGAGGCCACCAGTCTGTTCTCCTGCTGGGACTCTGAGGAGCACAGGGACTGGCCTCCTGCTGGGACTCTGAGGAGCACAGGGACTGGCCTCCTGCTGGGACTCCAGGTTAAAAACAGTTCTGTATCTTCTTTTTATTTTTGGCACTAGTTTACTTGTTTTGCTCAGCACTTTGGAGTTGCCGTGCGTCTGAACTGTGCTATACAAATAAACTAGCCTCGCCCCAGTTAAAGCGGACATCACCTTTAAGGCCTGAAATAAAAAGCATTTCCTGTTCTTTCCGTAGCATTACCTGTGTTTCTGATCCAACTCGAGTTTCCTCCGTTTCCCCCAAATCCCAAACGGCTCGGGCTCATTTCAGATCCGTACATTTCCATGCGGTGTGATATCATGAATAAGAATCAATCGTGCGTTTGGAAAGAAAAGCCTGGTCCCGACACGTCGCACCTGCATCTCCAGAAAGTGCCACGCTGGAGCTGGCACCTCCTCCGCCTCCTGAGACCAAAGCGCCGCAGACGGATAATGCATTCACAGCCCGAGCAGCGAGGGGGTAGTGTTGTTTATCGCAGAGACAAGGGTATCACTCAGGAAGACAGAATACACCCGGGTTCTCCCCAGCCGACCGCCACCGCAGATTAGCGTACCCCCCGCAAGCTAGCACAGGCCGGGGACGCAACCGTGGCTGCGTTCGCCGGAGCAGAAGGAGCTGGCGTTGAACTTAAAAATAGGCGTGTAAAAGCTACACCGTTACACCGGCGTCTGCGGAGAAGTTTAAAGAGTGGGTTAAGCTAAGAATAGGCAGAGGAAAGGTCCGTGGGGAGGCGGCAGCGTGGGAGAGGTTAGCGGGAAGCAAAAGGGAAACGTGGAGGATCTTAAATACATGATATGGACCAGACTGAGAAGCTGCTCTGACGGAAAAGAAGAAGCCAGAAGAGAATCAGTGCTGTTTTAATACATACACTGTATATGTGTGTATACAGGTGAGAGACCAGAGAGACCAGAGAGAGACCAGAGAGACCAGAGAGAGACCAGAGAGAGACCAGAGAGAGACCAGAGAGACCAGAGAGAGACCAGAGAGACCAGAGAGACCAGAGAGACCAGAGAGACCAGAGAGAGACCAGAGAGACCAGAGAGACCAGAGAGAGACCAGAGAGACCAGAGAGACCAGAGAGACCAGAGAGACCAGAGAGAGACCAGAAAGAGACCAGAGAGAGACCAGAGAGAGACCAGAGAGAGACCAGAGAGAGACCAGAGAGACCAGAGAGAGACCAGAGAGAGACCAGAGAGACCAGAGAGAGACCAGAGAGAGACCAGAGAGAGACCAGAGAGACCAGAGAGAGACCAGAGAGAGAGACCAGAGAGAGACCAGAGAGAGACACCAGAGAGAGAGACCAGAGAGACACCAGAGAGAGAGACCAGAGAGAGACCAGAGAGACACCAGAGAGAGAGACCAGAGAGAGAGACCAGAGAGAGACCAGAGAGACACCAGAGAGAGAGACCAGAGAGAGACCAGAGAGAGAGACCAGAGAGAGACCAGAGAGACACCAGGAGAGAGACCAGAGAGAGAGACCAGAGAGAGACCAGAGAGACACCAGAGAGAGACCAGAGAGAGACCAGAGAGACCAGAGAGAGACCAGAGAGAGACCAGAGAGAGACCAGAGAGAGACCAGAGAGAGACCAGAGAGACCAGAGAGACCAGAGAGACACCAGAGAGAGAGACCAGAGAGAGACACCAGAGAGAGACACCAGAGAGACACCAGAGAGAGACCAGAGAGACACCAGAGAGAGACCAGAGAGACACCAGAGAGAGACCAGAGAGAGACCAGAGAGAGACCAGAGAGAGACCAGAGAGAGACCAGAGAGACCAGAGAGACACCAGAGAGAGAGACCAGAGAGAGAGACCAGAGAGAGACCAGAGAGAGACCAGAGAGAGAGACCAGAGAGAGACCAGAGAGACCAGAGAGAGACCAGAGAGACCAGAGAGACCAGAAAGAGACCAGAGAGAGACCAGAGAGAGACCAGAGAGAGACCAGAGAGAGACCAGAGAGAGACCAGAGAGAGACCAGAGAGACCAGAGAGAGACCAGAGAGAGACCAGAGAGAGACCAGAGAGAGACCAGAGAGAGACCAGAGAGACCAGAGAGAGACCAGAGAGACACCAGAGAGACCAGAGAGACCAGAGAGAGACCAGAGAGACACCAGAGAGACCAGAGAGACACCAGAGAGAGAGACCAGAGAGAGAGACCAGAGAGAGACCAGAGAGAGACACCAGAGAGAGAGACCAGAGAGAGACCAGAGAGACCAGAGAGAGAGACCAGAGAGAGACCAGAGAGAGACCAGAGAGAGACCAGAGAGAGACCAGAGAGAGACCAGAGAGAGACCAGAGAGAGACACCAGAGAGAGAGACCAGAGAGAGACACCAGAGAGAGACCAGAGAGAGAGACCAGAGAGAGACCAGAGAGAGACCAGAGAGACACCAGAGAGAGACCAGAGAGAGAGACCAGAGAGAGACCAGAAAGACACCAGAGAGAGACCAGAGAGAGACCAGAGAGACCAGAGAGAGACCAGAGAGACCAGAGAGAGACCAGAGAGAGACCAGAGAGAGACCAGAGAGACCAGAGAGACACCAGAGAGAGAGACCAGAGAGAGAGACCAGAGAGAGAGACCAGAGAGAGAGACCAGAGAGAGACCAGAGAGACACCAGAGAGAGACCAGAGAGACACCAGAGAGACCAGAGAGACACCAGAGAGAGACCAGAGAGAGACCAGAGAGAGACCAGAGAGACCAGAGAGACACCAGAGAGAGAGACCAGAGAGAGAGACCAGAGAGAGACCAGAGAGAGAGACCAGAGAGAGAGACCAGAGAGACACCAGAAAGAGACCAGAGAGACACCAGAGAGAGACCAGAGAGACACCAGAGAGACCAGAGAGAGAGACCAGAGAGAGACCAGAGAGACACCAGAGAGACCAGAGAGACACCAGAGAGAGAGACCAGAGAAAGAGACCAGAGAGAGACCAGAGAGAGACACCAGAGAGAGAGACCAGAGAGAGAGACCAGAGAGACACCAGAGAGACCAGAGAGAGACCAGAGAGACACCAGAGAGACCAGAGAGAGAGACCAGAGAGAGACCAGAGAGACACCAGAGAGACCAGAGAGACACCAGAGAGAGAGACCAGAGAGAGACCAGAGAGAGACCAGAGAGAGACACCAGAGAGAGAGACCAGAGAGACACCAGAGAGACCAGAGAGAGAGACCAGAGAGAGACCAGAGAGACACCAGAGAGACACCAGAGAGAGACCAGAGAGCAGAGAGAGAGACCAGAGAGAGAGACCAGAGAGAGCAGAGAGAGAGAGCAGAGAGAGAGAGCAGAGAGAGAGACCAGAGAGAGACACCAGAGAGACACCAAAGAGAGAGACCAGAGAGACACCAGAGAGAGACCAGAGATACCAGAGAGAGAGACCAGAGAGACACCAGAGAGAGACCAGAGAGAGAGACCATCGAGAGAGACCAGAGAGAGACGAGAGAGAGACCAGAGAGAGAGCAGAGGGAGAGCAGAGGGAGAGCAGAGAGACCAGAGAGGGACCAGAGAGAGACCAGAGAGAGACCAGAGAGAGACCAGAGAGACCAGAGAGACCAGAGAGAGACCAGCCTGGACCGGTCTGTGTTTAAACCAGGCCCATGTGTGCTTCCCGTCCACACGCTCTCTCCATCACAGCTGTTGGGGCGAGTGTCGGACATTTCCGTGTGTGTTCGAAACATGTGCAGGCTCTGATCTGTGTCTGACTGAATTTATCGTTTCCTGCGACGAAGAGAGAGAGAGAGAGACAGAGAGAGAGCGAGTCAGAGAGAGCGAGTCAGAGAGAGAGAGTCAGAGAGAGAGAGTCAGAGAGAGAGAGTCAGAGAGAAAGAGAGAGAGTGAGAGAGAGAACAAAGCGGCCTGTGATGTCACCGATTTAAGACCAAGATTTAAACTGCTGTTTCAGAGGACGGGGTTTCTCCTCATCTGTAGAACACTGAAAACTACAATACAATACGTTATACAGAAGTACACTCTCTCTCTCTGGTTTCTCTTTATCTCTGTAGTCTCTCTCTCCCTCTGTGGTCTCTCTCTCTTCCTCTCTGGTTTCTCTCTCTCTCTGGTTTCTCGTCTCTTCCTCTCTTTGGTGTCTCTCTCTCTCTGGTCTTTCTCTTTCTCGTCTCTTCCTCTCTTTGGTCTCTCTCCCTCATCTCTTCCTCCTTTGGTCTCTCTCTCTTCCTCTCTGGTTTCTCTTTCTTTGGTTCTTTGTCTCTTCCTCTCTTTAGTCTCTCTCTCTCTGGTCCCTCTTTCTTGTCTCTTCCTCTCTTTGGTCTCTCTCTTCTTCTCTGAGCTCCCTCTCTGGTCTCTCTCTCTCTGGTCTCTCTTCTCTCTCCAGTCTCTCTCTGTGCTCTCTCTCTCTCTGTACTCTCTCTCCCCCAGCTCTACCCTAACCACACACACACTGCACACAGCACTAAACCTCACTTTCTCTCTGCAAAGAAATCAAAACTATTGGAGAGAAATCTGCAGCTGGGATTTCTTGTCAGACCAGAAGTTTTTGGGCCGAAAGCAAAAATAGCGTGTGGCCAGTTTAAGTGACAGGAGACGCCGGAGAGACGCCGGAGACACCGGAGACGCCGCCAGATCCTTCCTCCATTCTAACCGCCACATGTCACATACAGGCAAATTACAATCTTATTTTAACACACTCATTTGTCCCGGTGTCGGAGTGAATCACCGGTGTCAGGTTTGGGACTCTCTGACACCCGTCCACCTGGTCCGGCCCCAGAGCGACAGCGGCTGCAGATACAGGCGCCGAAGACACAGGCGCCGCAGATACAGGCGCTGTCAGAGAGCCCGCCGCGGTGCCCGTCTTCCCTCGCCCCTCGCATCCTCCATTAATCAGCGTGACGTCTCGGTGTTGGAGAAATGAGGGCTATAATAAACCGGGGTTGGTTTTTTCCGTGGACCGGCTTTTGGTCACGCGTGAAAGAACAGGTGTCGGCTAATTGGGCAAACGGTGAAACTACTAAAGATGATCCCAGCAAAAAATGGAATTGCAATATTCAAACTTTTACACACGAGAATAATTGGGAAGATCGACAGTGACGGGCGGAAGTGGATGAAACTTTAGCCCTGTTTTCACCAGCCCTAGCCTAGCCTAGCCTAGCCTGGCCTAGCCTACTCTAACCTACCCTACCCTACCCCTTGGCTGTGTCCAAAACGCTAGGCATCGGGCCGCGTAGGGTGGATACGTAGGCATCGAGGGAAGGCCGCGTAGCCACAGGCGAGGTAGGAGGCGAGACGTGATGTGGATTTGGACAGCAGCTGCCTTCTGCCTTCGTCACGTGACTACACAACTCAGAGCGGAGCGGAAGGACACGGCGGCCATGATGGACGGTAAAAAGTTCTAAATACGCTTTAATTAGGACATAAAAGTTAATTCTAATATCATTTGAGGCGAGAAATATCCCCCTCTATTGTCATATCAGAAGTCTGTTTGGAGATAAATTCGAAAATTTTCGGACTTTACCTCCAGCCTGAAGCTCCGGTGCTATAAGCTAACAGCCCAGTTAGCTGCAGTGCTGAAGCCCAGAACAGGCTGTCTAAACACGGGGTCAGGTAATGAGAGCCCCCTGGATGTTTACAATCGTATTCTGAAAAAACAGAGGATGCTTTTGTTGTTACACTTTCTGTTATAACAATTGTATTGGCAGTAATCATTAGTTTTTACAAAGTTATATTTTATGTAAACAATGCACATATATGCAATAAATGATTATTAGATATGGATTATATATTTGCTATGGCCCTTGTTTGTGCATCACTTAAAAGTAATTTTATCAGACCTAAATGTATTAACGTGTGTTTGCTGATGAGAGAGAAACATCAATTTATCTATAATAATAACTGACACATCCATTTATCTATAATAATAACTGGAACATCAATTTATCTATAATAATAACTGGAACATCAATTTATCTATAATAATAATAACTGGAACATCCATCCAACATTATTAGATCTATAATAATAACTGACACATCCATGGATCTATAATAATAACTGACACATCCATGGATCTATAATAATAACTGACACATCCATGGATCTATAATAATAACTGACACATCCATGGATCTATAATAATAACTGACACATCCATGGATCTATAATAATAACTGACACATCCATGGATCTATAATAATAACTGACACATCCATGGATCTATAATAATAACTGACACATCCATGGATCTATAATAATAACTGACACATGGAAACATTCACAGACATCTGTAAAATGAAGTTGAACACAGATGTTTGACACTGCTCTTATTCACTTTATCTCTTGAAAAGCAAACAGACCGTTACTAATCACATTTGAGTTTAATGTATTCAATTATAAGTATAAGTATAAGTACTGCTGACAAATATGTAGTTGTGTAAATAATACCTCACTTTGACTCTTTACATTTCACACAAACAACAAAATCATAATAAAACCAACAAGTTTGATTTGTTTTCTTTATTTCCAGGTTCTCTGAAGTGCTGTCGATGAGACCTGTGTCAGAGGCAGACGCCCAGGACTCTGCTGCTGCTCCTGCTGCTGCTGCTGCTGCTGTTGCTCCTGCTGCTGTTGCTCCTGCTGCTGTTGCTCCTGCTGCTACATGTCTTCAGAGATAAAGAGCCCACTGTTCTAACTATTCATGACTGGTGATTAAAGGAAAATATTATATACAAGTTTGTTGTAGTTCATAATGTTTTCAGCAGTGAAGCAGGAAGTGAAGCAGGAGGTGAAGCAGGAGGTGATGGAGGTGAAGCAGGAGGTGATGGAGGTGAAGCAGGAGGTGATGGAGGTGAAGCAGGAGGTGATGGAGGTGAAGCAGGACGTGAAGCTGGAGAAATTATGACCTTAATTTCACCACAAGTCTCTGAAAAAGAAGAACATAAACATCATGCATTAAAACACAGCCCACATTTAGGATTCTTTTTACACTTCATATTCAACTAATACTATTTATTTGGGGCTTTGCAAAAAACTGGTTAAAAATAAAAGACAGAAATCCTTACAGTATTTAATATTAGAGATACAAGCTTCACAGCAGGGGAAACAGAAGAATGATATCATATGATAGAAATATACACAAATAATCAAGTTATGAGCATGGCTAACCACTTTAAACCTGTGTTTGTGGAAGTGGGACTTTGTCTTCTGCAAATGTCTTATTAATGACAAACGAAACCTCTGTATAATGTGTGTTTACTATTTATTAGACTATTGTATGAAAAGGGCTTTATAATTATTCTTGGCCTATTCTATAATTTCATATGTCTAATATATACAGTTTTCCCAGTCTCAGTATGGGATTAAAAACGATATGCACAATCTATTTTATATGAATACAGAAAACATGTGTTAGCATACTATAGCTGCTGTGCTGCAGAGTGATTTTCCATGAAAACGTGACTTTCCTCAGTGTAGCTTTAATATTTAATCAGTGGGTTTGTTTCTCCCTAAAAGATAAAACACAACATGATTTTTCTTGTTCAAAAACCGAATCTGAATGAACTAGCTAGCCTCGTAGCATTAGCTTTTCGGGACTGAGCTTATTCACAGCAGATAACAAGGTTAAATACACACATCTGTGGCAGATCTAATTTATGTCTGTGTTTTATCATAACAGTCGTGTTCATAACTCAACAGTAAAGTATAGCAGTGCTTACTATAGACATAACTTCACAATAAAGTATAGCAGTGCTTACTATAGACATAACTTCACACAGTAAAGTAAAGTCTTACATAGACATAACTTCACACAGTACTTACTATAGACATAACTTCACAGTAAAGTATAGCAGTGCTTACCATAATGTTAGCTCCAGCAGCTCCGAGTTGTTGTTTACATGTTAATGCCGAACGGAGTTCTGCGCATGCGCGGCCGTGACTTGGCAAAAAGAAGGCAGCGAAGCATACATCAGATGCATCCTTCATATCTGCTCCAAAAGTGGCCGTTTCCATAGAGACGAAGTCATGATGCCTACGCTTGGCGAGCTCGCCAAGTGGTTTTGGACACCCCTGCAATAGCCGTCGCTTGAGGAAGTGACGTCACGATGCCTACATATCCACCCTACGCGGCCTGATGCCTAGCGTTTTGGACACAGCCCTTGTTTAGTCCCTCTTGGTCCTGGTTCTATCCGGGCTGGTACTAAAGTGTTCTGACTGACAGTGATTGGTCAGAGAGCTGTTGCCTGGATCCTGGTTTGTTGTTGTTGTTGTTTGGTTGCTAGGATACGGCACCAGATAATGAAGCGTATTGGAAACAGGACCAGTAGAGTAGGAAGATGTTTAGTCCCCTTTATACATAATACATTCCAGGGTGAATAATTTCCTGGAGGAGGAGAGGCACAGTCTCCCCCTCCACCCTCTGACTCCCCCTCTGACTCCCCCTCCAGCTCCTCTCTGTGTTCCCTGTCCCGGTCCATCAGGGCAGGTATCCCCCCTTCACACCCCCCACTCCTCCCTGAGCTCCAAGGCCCGATGCCCTGGCCATCACCTCACACACACTGAGACAGACACACACACACACATAGAGCAATACACACACACACACCCCCCCTCATTAGCGGTGGCCGTGGCGCCGGGCTCCGCCCTCTGGCGAACATGACAAAGAGAGATCGCGCTGCTCTCGCAGACTCTTCTTTCAAACGCAGAGAGGGTCGACCTGGTGCAGCTTTAAGCTAAATATTCAAATTCTCAGCCTTTCTTTTTAAGAATTTGCATGGATATGCATTCATTTGGCATGTGCAGAAGCCACAAGGACAGCTGAGCCGGGAAAAGACGGGAAAATAAATAATGCAGAATAATATGCAAAAAATATGTTCAGTGGCATCAAATAGTGATCGAGAAAACTGCTTCAAAACACAGGGTCCTCCGGGACTAAAGAGGAGATTACTGACATCTGTGGCTGCAGGGCCATCCAGGACCAAGGACCATCCAGGACCATCCAGGACCATCCAGGACCATCCAGGACCATCCAGGGCCATCCAGGGTAATCCAGGGTCATCCAGGACCATCCAGGGTCATCCAGGGTCATCCAGGGTCATCCAGGACCATCCAGGGCCATCAAGGACCATCCAGGGCTATCCAGGACCATCCAGGACTGAGTCCATCATAAAGTATATAAAGTGTAAGCTCTAGAGATAGAAATATAAAGTAACAAAAGAAAACTTGAATGAGTGGTCACTTTGAACCAGAAACACTGAACATCGTTCTCTGCTTTCATGGTCCCTCGGTGGGAAATGTCAGTGTTGCAGCCACAGTTACAGAACAGACACAGAAACAAGGAAATCTGAGGAACTACAGACAGAAAATAAAATCCTCTGACAAACAGGGACCAAGTGACATGTTCTTCTTCAGGTGTGACAGAACCAGGTGTTTACATGTAACCAGTCCCAGAACTATTTCAGCTCAGAAAGTCAAATACAACAGATGCAGAGTCTGAACTAATGTAAACTCTCTGGTCTCTCTCTGGTCTCTCTCTCTAGTCTCTCTCTCTGGTCTCTCTCTGGTCTCTCTCTGGTCTCTCTCTGGTCTCTCTCTGTCTCTCTCTCTGGCCTCTCTCTGGCCTCTCTCTGGCCTCTCTCTGGCCTCTCTCTGGCCTCTCTCTGGCCTCTCTCTGGCCTCTCTCTGGTCTCTCTCTGGTCTCTCTCTGGTCTCTCTCTGGTCTCTCTCTGGCCTCTCTCTGGCCTCTCTCTGGTCTCTCTCTGGTCTCTCTCTGGCCTCTCTCTGGCCTCTCTCTGGCCTCTCTCTGGCCTCTCTCTGGCCTCTCTCTGGCCTCTCTCTGGTCTCTCTCTTGCCTCTCTCTGGTCTCCTAGAAAGTTACACACCCCAGCTTTAATCAAACCTGTGAACAACTATAGAGCATTACTGCCTCTGAGCGATCTGCAGTGAACGATATTATCTCAACACGTTTCTCTAAATGTATGGATTCTTCTGAACCTCTAAAAACCTTCATCTTCACCTTTGGCTCCCGACACATGCAGCTGTCAGGCGTCACTCATCCCTGAGCCGTTAACAAACCGCCCCCCCCCCCGTCTCCGTCCATCTCTCCGTCTCCTTTTTACATAAAGCTCCCGTCTCCGTGCTCTTTACGGCGCTCTCAGGATGTTCTGCTGCTGTCGGCGCCAAAATATCGACTGGTCCAAAGAGTTTCCGAGCGTCTGACGGACAGCGAACAGACACGACATCAGCCAGGAGCAAGACAGGGAGGAAGAGTATCAGGGAACGTGTGAGGAAGAGGAGAAATATCTGGGAACGTGTGAGGAAGAGGAAGACAAGAGCTGGAGGAATAGAAGAAGAGAAAGAAGGTCCTTTATTCGTCCCACAATGGTGACATTTCAGTTTGATGCACTCACACACACACACACGCACACACACACAGGTACACATACATACATACATACACATGAACACACATATACACATACACATACACTAGGGGTGTGACGATATATTGATTTTTCGATATATCGCGATACTCGATTATCGATATGCATTTGCCAAGTATCGAAAAAAAATAAAATCTTTCCTTCCCTCAGCCGCCATGGCCCCTCGCTCACTTCCTTCCCTCAGCCATGGCCCCTCGCTCACTTCCTTCCCTCAGCCATGGCCCCTCGCTCACTTCCCTCAGCCGCCGTGGCCCCTCGCTCACTTCCTTCCCTCAGCCGTGGCCCCTCGCTCACTTCCTTCCCTCAGCCATGGCCCCTCGCTCACTTCCTTCCCTCAGCCATGGCCCCTCGCTCACTTCCTTCCCTCAGCCGTGGCCCCTCGCTCACTTCCTTCCTTCCCTCAGCCGTGGCCCCTCGCTCACTTCCTTCCCTCAGCCGTGGCCCCTGGCTCACTTCCTTCCCTCAGCCGTGGCCCCTCGCTCACTTCCTTCCTTCCCTCAGCCATGGCCCCTCGCTCACTTCCTTCTCTCAGCCATGGCCCCTCGCTCACTTCCTTCCCTCAGCCGTGGCCCCTCGCTCACTTCCTTCCCTCAGCCGTGGCCCCTCGCTCACTTCCTTCCCTCAGCCGTGGCCCCTCGCTCACTTCCTTCCCTCAGCCGTGGCCCCTCGCTCACTTCCTTCCCTCAGCCGTGGCCCCTCGCTCACTTCCTTCCCTCAGCCGCCATGGCCCCTCGCTCACTTCCTTCCCTCAGCCGTGGCCCCTCGCTCACTTCCTTCCCTCAGCCATGGCCCCTCGCTCACTTCCTTCCCTCAGCCGTGGCCCCTCGCTCACTATCTTCCCTCAGCCGTGGCCCCTCGCTGACTTCCTTCCTTCCCTCAGCCATGGCCCCTCGCTCACTTCCTTCCCTCAGCCGTGGCCCCTCGCTCACTTCCTTCCTTCCCTCAGCCGTGGCCCCTCGCTCACTTCCTCCCCTCAGCCGCCGTGGCCCCTCGCTCACTTCCTTCCCTCAGCCGTGGCCCCTCGCTCACTTCCTTCCCTCAGCCATGGCCCCTCGCTCACTTCCTTCCCCCAGCCGTGGCCCCTCGCTCACTTCCTTCCCTCAGCCATGGCCCCTCGCTCACTTCCTTCCCTCAGCCGTGGCCTCTCGCTTACTTCCTTCCCTCAGCCGTGGCCCCTCGCTCACTTCCTTCCCTCAGCCGCCGTGGCCCCGCGCTCACTTCCTTCCCTCAGCCGTGGCCCCTCGCTCACTTCCCTCCCTCAGCCGTGGCCCCTCGCTCACTTCCTTCCCTCAGCCGTGGCCCCTCGCTCACTTCCTTCCCTCAGCCGTGGCCCCTCGCTCACTTCCTTCCTTCCCTCAGCCGTGGCCCCTTGCTCACTTCCTTCCCTCAGCCGTGGCCCCTCGCTCACTTCCTTCCTTCCCTCAGCCGTGGCCCCTCGCTCACTTCCTTCCTTCCCTCAGCCGTGGCCCCTCGCTCACTTCCTTCCTTCCTTCAGCCGTGGCCCCTCGCTCACTTCCTTCCTTCCCTCAGCCGTGGCCCCTGGCTCATTTCCTTCCCTCAGCCGTGGCCCCTCGCTCACTTCCTTCCCTCAGCCGTGGCCCCTCTCTCACTTCCTTCCCTCAGCCATGGCCCCTCGCTCACTTCCTTCCCTCAGCCATGGCCTCTCGCTCACTTCCTTCCCTCAGCCGTGGCCCCTCGCTCACTTCCTTCCCTCAGCCGCCGTGGCCCCTCGCTCACTTCCTTCCCTCAGCCGTGGCCCCTCGCTCACTTCCTTCCCTCAGCCGTGGCCCCTCGCTCACTTCCTTCCCTCAGCCGTGGCCCCTCGCTCACTTCCTTCCCTCAGCCGTGGCCCCTCGCTCACTTCCTTCCTTCCCTCAGCCGTGGCCACTCGCTCACTTCCTTCCCTCAGCCGTGGCCCCTCGCTCACTTCCTTCCTTCCCTCAGCCGTGGCCCCTCGCTCACTTCCTTCCTTCCCTCAGCCGTGGCCCCTCGCTCACTTCCTTCCTTCCCTCAGCCGTGGCCCCTCGCTCACTTCCTTCCTTCCCTCAGCCGTGGCCCCTCGCTCACTTCCTTCCTTCCCTCAGCCGTGGCCCCTCGCTCACTTCCTTCCTTCCCTCAGCCGTGGCCCCTGGCTCATTTCCTTCCCTCAGCCGCCATGGCCCCTCGCTCACTTCCTTCCCTCAGCCGCCATGGCCCCTCGCTCACTTCCTTCCCTCAGCCGTGGCCCCTCGCTCACTTCCTTCCTTCCCTCAGCCGTGGCCCCTCGCTCACTTCCTCCCCTCAGCCGCCGTGGCCCCTCGCTCACTTCCTTCCCTCAGCCGTGGCCCCTCGCTCACTTCCTCCCCTCAGCCGCCGTGGCCCCTCGCTCACTTCCTTCCCTCAGCCATGGCCCCTCGCTCACTTCCTTCCCCCAGCCGTGGCCCCTCGCTCACTTCCTTCCCTCAGCCATGGCCCCTCGCTCACTTCCTTCCCTCAGCCGTGGCCTCTCGCTCACTTCCTTCCCTCAGCCGTGGCCCCTCGCTCACTTCCTTCCCTCAGCCGCCGTGGCCCCTCGCTCACTTCCTTCCCTCAGCCGTGGCCCCTCGCTCACTTCCTTCCCTCAGCCGTGGCCCCTCGCTCACTTCCTTCCCTCAGCCGTGGCCCCTCGCTCACTTCCTTCCCTCAGCCGTGGCCCCTCGCTCACTTCCTTCCTTCCCTCAGCCGTGGCCCCTTGCTCACTTCCTTCCCTCAGCCGTGGCCCCTCGCTCACTTCCTTCCTTCCCTCAGCCGTGGCCCCTCGCTCACTTCCTTCCTTCCCTCAGCCGTGGCCCCTCGCTCACTTCCTTCCTTCCCTCAGCCGTGGCCCCTCGCTCACTTCCTTCCTTCCCTCAGCCGTGGCCCCTGGCTCATTTCCTTCCCTCAGCCGTGGCCCCTCGTTCACTTCCTTCCCTCAGCCGCCATGGCCCCTCGCTCACTTCCTTCCCACAGCCGTGGCCCCTCGCTCACTTCCTTCCTTCCCTCAGCCGCCGTGGCCCCTCGCTCACTTCCTTCCCTCAGCCGTGGCCCCTCTCTCACTTCCTTCCCTCAGCCATGGCCCCTCGCTCACTTCCTTCCCTCAGCCATGGCCTCTCGCTCACTTCCTTCCCTCAGGCGTGGCCCCTCGCTCACTTCCTTCCCTCAGCCGCCGTGGCCCCTCGCTCACTTCCTTACCTCAGCCGTGGCCCCTCGCTCACTTCCTTCCTTCCCTCAGCCGTGGCCCCTCGCTCACTTCCTTCCTTCCCTCAGCCGTGGCCCCTCGCTCACTTCCTTCCTTCCCTCAGCCGTGGCCCCTCGCTCACTTCCTTCCTTCCCTCAGCCGTGGCCCCTCGCTCACTTCCTTCCTTCCCTCAGCCGTGGCCCCTCGCTCACTTCCTTCCTTCCCTCAGCCGTGGCCCCTGGCTCATTTCCTTCCCTCAGCCGCCATGGCCCCTCGCTCACTTCCTTCCCTCAGCCGTGGCCCCTCGCTCACTTCCTTCCTTCCCTCAGCCGCCGTGGCCCCTCGCTCACTTCCTTCCCTCAGCCGTGGCCCCTCGCTCACTTCCTTCCCTCAGCCATGGCCCCTCGCTCACTTCCTTCCCTCAGCCGTGGCCCCTCTCTCACTTCCTTCCCTCAGCCATGGCCCCTCGCTCCCTTCCTTCCCTCAGCCATGGCCTCTCGCTCACTTCCTTCCCTCAGCCGTGGCCCCTCGCTCACTTCCTTCCCTCAGCCGCCATGGCCCCTCGCTCACTTCCTTCCCTCAGCCGCCATGGCCCCTCGCTCACTTCCTTCCCTCAGCCGTGGCCCCTCGCTCACTTCCTTCCTTCCCTCAGCCGTGGCCCCTCGCTCACTTCCTCCCCTCAGCCGCCGTGGCCCCTCGCTCACTTCCTTCCCTCAGCCGTGGCCCCTCGCTCACTTCCTTCCCTCAGCCGTGGCCCCTCGCTCACTTCCTTCCCTCAGCCGTGGCCCCTCGCTCACTTCCTTCCCTCAGCCGTGGCCCCTCGCTCACTTCCTTCCCTCAGCCGTGGCCCCTCGCTCACTTCCTTCCCTCAGCCGTGGCCCCTCGCTCACTTCCTTCCTTCCCTCAGCCGTGGCCCCTTGCTCACTTCCTTCCCTCAGCCGTGGCCCCTCGCTCACTTCCTTCCTTCCCTCAGCCGTGGCCCCTCGCTCACTTCCTTCCTTCCCTCAGCCGTGGCCCCGCGCTCACTTCCTTCCTTCCCTCAGCCGTGGCCCCTCGCTCACTTCCTTCCTTCCCTCAGCCGTGGCCCCTGGCTCATTTCCTTCCCTCAGCCGTGGCCCCTTGCTCACTTCCTTCCCTCAGCCGCCATGGCCCCTCGCTCACTTCCTTCCCACAGCCGTGGCCCCTCGCTCACTTCCTTCCTTCCCTCAGCCGCCGTGGCCCCTCGCTCACTTCCTTCCCTCAGCCGTGGCCTCTCGCTCACTTCCTTCCCTCAGCCGTGGCCCCTCGCTCACTTCCTTCCCTCAGCCGCCGTGGCCCCTCGCTCACTTCCTTCCCTCAGCCGTGGCCCCTCGCTCACTTCCTTCCCTCAGCCGTGGCCCCTCGCTCACTTCCTTCCCTCAGCCGTGGCCCCTCGCTCACTTCCTTCCCTCAGCCGTGGCCCCTCGCTCACTTCCTTCCTTCCCTCAGCCGTGGCCACTCGCTCACTTCCTTCCCTCAGCCGTGGCCCCTCGCTCACTTCCTTCCTTCCCTCAGCCGTGGCCCCTCGCTCACTTCCTTCCTTCCCTCAGCCGTGGTCCCTCGCTCACTTCCTTCCTTCCCTCAGCCGTGGCCCCTCGCTCACTTCCTTCCTTCCCTCAGCCGTGAGCCCTCGCTCACTTCCTTCCTTCCCTCAGCCGTGGCCCCTGGCTCATTTCCTTCCCTCAGCCGCCATGGCCCCTCGCTCACTTCCTTCCCTCAGCCGCCATGGCCCCTCGCTCACTTCCTTCCCTCAGCCGTGGCCCCTCGCTCACTTCCTTCCTTCCCTCAGCCGCCGTGGCCCCTCGCTCACTTCCTTCCCTCAGCCGTGGCCCCTCGCTCACTTCCTTCCCTCAGCCATGGCCCCTCGCTCACTTCCTTCCCTCAGCCGTGGCCCCTCTCTCACTTCCTTCCCTCAGCCATGGCCCCTCGCTCCCTTCCTTCCCTCAGCCATGGCCTCTCGCTCACTTCCTTCCCTCAGCCGTGGCCCCTCGCTCACTTCCTTCCCTCAGCCGCCATGGCCCCTCGCTCACTTCCTTCCCTCAGCCGCCATGGCCCCTCGCTCACTTCCTTCCCTCAGCCGTGGCCCCTCGCTCACTTCCTTCCTTCCCTCAGCCGTGGCCCCTCGCTCACTTCCTCCCCTCAGCCGCCGTGGCCCCTCGCTCACTTCCTTCCCTCAGCCGTGGCCCCTCGCTCACTTCCTTCCCTCAGCCGTGGCCCCTCGCTCACTTCCTTCCCTCAGCCGTGGCCCCTCGCTCACTTCCTTCCCTCAGCCGTGGCCCCTCGCTCACTTCCTTCCCTCAGCCGTGGCCCCTCGCTCACTTCCTTCCCTCAGCCGTGGCCCCTCGCTCACTTCCTTCCTTCCCTCAGCCGTGGCCCCTTGCTCACTTCCTTCCCTCAGCCGTGGCCCCTCGCTCACTTCCTTCCTTCCCTCAGCCGTGGCCCCTCGCTCACTTCCTTCCTTCCCTCAGCCGTGGCCCCGCGCTCACTTCCTTCCTTCCCTCAGCCGTGGCCCCTCGCTCACTTCCTTCCTTCCCTCAGCCGTGGCCCCTGGCTCATTTCCTTCCCTCAGCCGTGGCCCCTTGCTCACTTCCTTCCCTCAGCCGCCATGGCCCCTCGCTCACTTCCTTCCCACAGCCGTGGCCCCCTCGCTCACTTCCTTCCTTCCCTCAGCCGCCGTGGCCCCTCGCTCACTTCCTTCCCTCAGCCGTGGCCTCTCGCTCACTTCCTTCCCTCAGCCGTGGCCCCTCGCTCACTTCCTTCCCTCAGCCGCCGTGGCCCCTCGCTCACTTCCTTCCCTCAGCCGTGGCCCCTCGCTCACTTCCTTCCCTCAGCCGTGGCCCCTCGCTCACTTCCTTCCCTCAGCCGTGGCCCCTCGCTCACTTCCTTCCCTCAGCCGTGGCCCCTCGCTCACTTCCTTCCTTCCCTCAGCCGTGGCCACTCGCTCACTTCCTTCCCTCAGCCGTGGCCCCTCGCTCACTTCCTTCCTTCCCTCAGCCGTGGCCCCTCGCTCACTTCCTTCCTTCCCTCAGCCGTGGTCCCTCGCTCACTTCCTTCCTTCCCTCAGCCGTGGCCCCTCGCTCACTTCCTTCCTTCCCTCAGCCGTGAGCCCTCGCTCACTTCCTTCCTTCCCTCAGCCGTGGCCCCTGGCTCATTTCCTTCCCTCAGCCGCCATGGCCCCTCGCTCACTTCCTTCCCTCAGCCGCCATGGCCCCTCGCTCACTTCCTTCCCTCAGCCGTGGCCCCTCGCTCACTTCCTTCCTTCCCTCAGCCGCCGTGGCCCCTCGCTCACTTCCTTCCCTCAGCCGTGGCCCCTCGCTCACTTCCTTCCCTCAGCCATGGCCCCTCGCTCACTTCCTTCCCTC